TCGTTTATTTGAATGTCCGTCGAGCCACTGGAGCGCTAATGAGAGAGAAGCGCTCCAGTTAGCGTAAGGTTTTTAGCCTTCGAGAGCTAACTATGGCCATCGAGGACTACGAAGCGTCCCGTGGGTGTTTTTAGCATGATAAAAAGTAAAGTAAATGTCCGTCGAGCCATAAGCAATTTACTCTGAGCAGCTAATCGGATGCTACGGATCTAGCTTCAGTATCTACACACATAGACAGTGAGGTCTATGTGGCCTCTTGGCCAATCGGAGGCCAGGATGATGCTCGGTAAGCCAATAGCAGAGCAGCTATGAGTATGTTGAGCCCAGGAAACTCGCAGCTGTGACCGAAATAAACATCGTTCACTATGTAAACCAGTGTGGTGGTTGCTGTTGCCTTTTTTCGAACGAAGCAGTAGAGGTCGCTGTTGGATAAGACTTCGTTGTAGTGAATGTCTTCGCGAGGCTGGAGCAGACAAAATGATTTCGTATAACGCAACAGGGGGTTTTTCGTCGTATGGGGGGCAGGAGAATGGGAATTGTGTTAATGCATGAAGATTTTTTCACATAAGGGGGTATTTTCGCCCATGCAGGTTTCGTTCTAGAGGAGTTTCACTGTAAACCATACCAGAGGCATGACTGACACTGACTAAATATTTTCAAATGTGAATTGAGGGGACAAGGTGAAACACAACACCACCACCACAACAACAACAACATCAGCAGCAACTCTCATGAAAGCACTGTTAATTTCCGAGCAATAAAATGAGCGAGCATTTCTTTGCTGTATCTCAACTTCTCCACAAAATTGTACAATCCCTTTGCTGCTGTATTGTGAATGGCACAATGATGAAACTCTAAAAGAATTAACTTTCCTTAATTTAGCTTATTTTTCCTTACCTTGTTTTGGCTTGACAAGGTTGATAGAATATCAACATGCATTGCAAATGCGACAAATAAATGTACAGTATTTATCTCATCTTGACTATCTGAGAATGCTATCATTTTACACACCTCCAGACTTGAGAGAAATTAATGAAATTTAACGGTCAATAGATACAAGTAGAGCGCAAAATACTAATGCGTGGGTTTAATGCAATTCCCATGAACAACATGGACAGCTTAATGAACAATAAGCATTCTTGCTAGATACAGCAATATGTGACATCCCTTAAGTGTGTGTTTTTTTTTTTAAATTCCATTCTCTTCATTAGCTTGCAGCGGCAGACTTTTTAGAGTATCTTTGTAGCTCATACTGAGCCTAAAATAAATTCAATCATGATCACCCTGTCCAGTGCTTTCACCACGGTCTCTACCTCTAAGCTTAGTGTTTGTAGAGAAAGTGTGCTAGGTTTGGCAACTGTCCAGTATGGAGCCAGGTTTTGTAATATTGTAATTTGAGGAAATTTATTTCAGAAGTGTGTCTTAAACTGACAATTTGGGAAGCGTCTCATCTTTGCCATGAGGGTATTGTCTTATTCGAGCTCTTTATCAAATGACTGTTTGCTCATGATTCTGTTGCAAACTACCTTTCAGGAAAGTTTTCACTCTGAAGAGGATGTTCAGCATGCCCAGATGCACACTGACGAAACTGCCCTAAGAGCCATTTGTCTCCAAAATTGCACCACGATGACAATCAGACGTGGAGACAAGAGAGCTTGGAAGTTGGTTTAACATTGGCCCAACTATTACAGCAATGGCGACCTTACTCAAAGGTGAAGTCTCGTGGGTCACAAAGGAAATAGTCAAGAGCCTCCCCGGAGAACAGAGGTAATTTCCTCGGGTCCTAGATGGCAGATTTCGTCTGCTGTCCACGTGCAGGGTGACCGTGAGCGCGCCTCAGAGCAGATGTCACTTTTTAGCTGCGGTCTAGAACGTATGAGACAATCCTGGCACAACCTCTGGATTGCATCATTTGAGCTGATTTAAATGCCCTCCTTCTTTCCAAATCTCTTCAGCACCGTATCGTCTTTTCATAACCGTGCTGATTGTGTTTTGTATGACTTCACATGGCTTGTAGATGTAAATAAAGAGGATTCACATTTTTTTTTAGGTTCCAAAGAGCATTTATGAGTTGTGGCTACTTAAAGTTGCAAAGTGTGGAAACTGATTATTTGTTCACAAAATGAAAAAAAAAAAAACAGACTCATTCTTGAGTGACTACCTGGCAATGTACAAAAAATGTCGACAGACCCATTCATCTAATATAAACACAAATGAGCCAGATGTGCAACAGTAGCTAGTGTCCTCAACCAAAATTGTCCTCAACCCAAAGTCTACATCTACAAAAGCATCTGCTGCTTGCGTAACATAACAGGTGGCCAACTCCAGACTGTGCCAACGAAGTTTCACACACACACACACACACACACACACACACACACACACACACACACACACACACTAATGTTTTTATACTAATAAAGGACTACTGTATATGATTTCTTAGTTGAGGAGCTACTGAATAACAAGAGGTGCCCGGTTTGATTCCGTCTCCGGAAACTCTGTGTGGAGTTTTCATGTGGTGTTTTCTCTGGGTGTGAAAGAGTTTATTTAATTAGTTCCATGAGAGTTGTTACATAACAATCTAATCCGACCGCCAGCTACCTATAGACAAACAACCATTAACATCCACATTCCCACCTATGGTCAATTCAGAACATTCAATGAACTGAAAATCCCACACAAGCACGAGGAAAACATTCAAACACTACACAGGAAGGCCGGTGCCAAGATTTGAATCCCAAATCACAGAAATGTGAAGCAGATTATCTGACCAATCATCCAATGTGCTGCCATCATTGATATAATTCCAAATAAATTGGGTGATTTCATATGCGTAGGATGATATGTCAGAGCTTCCTGAGCAAATAGATGAAAAATAAGCAGAGATCAGAGCCCTGATAAAGAACAATTCGGCCCAATCCGACTGGTGCTGCGTAGGTTTTGTTGCTAATCACGATGCCGTTGACCAGCACAGTGCTTGGCATAACCAAGTAGATACCAAACGTCTGTGAAAATGCTGACGTTGTTACTAAATCTGAGTTTGTGATTCATATGCCTAACGGTTGAAATCCACTGAAATATGAACAGGCGTTAGCAGACGACTGTGCGTCATGTTTGTGTTCATATGGAGGTAATTCAAAAAATAATTGCAGTATGAAGGTAATCACTTCAGGATATTCGTATTTAATGTTCAACCTCATGGCTGTCTTTTTCACTGTTCCACAAAAAGGCAGAGATATATAGCACTCGCGAGATGCTTTTCCACCCTTGGATAGTTTCAGATTTTAATGACCAAGTAATGATAGGGATCTAATATAGAAGGGGTCTCTAAGCAAAATAATTTCCACGTGGAAGCCTTTTAATGCCCTGGAGTGATGATGTTTAGGCTTCCATGTGAGTACGGTTTACCGTCTGATGGCTACTTAGATGTGAGCTGAAATTATTTTGTCATCGATTTTAATTGGGCACTTAGCAGTCACTCAACTATTGAGTGGAAGGTGAAAGTTCAAGTCAGCTTTCCGCATCATCAATACTGCCTTTCTAATGTGACAGAAATATTCAGATATTCGTGTCACGACACCCTGCTTTCCAAAGCTAAACTTTACTATGGAGAATGACAAATTGAAAACTAATTTGTGTAACAATAAGGAGGTGTTTGCGTGGAGGATATTTGCAAAGACTACTGCAGTGATATACTGGAAAGGTTGCACATGGACCAAATAAATTATTGGTCTAAATCCTCCAGTTCATGCATTTGTTAATATTGCAACATTTCCCCCGTGTTTAAATTTTCACATGGTTCCAAATAACAAAAGTCAGGCAGTATCTATGAAGATGCATATTTTAAAAAATATCTGAATAAGATCTTGTGTGGTCTTGCTGCAACCATAAACATATACAGTACCGGTATACAGAGTCAATCTATACAATGAAACAATGCAGTTCCCATTTGACCACATGACAGCCTGTTGTAAAAGCTTGAGAAATGTCACAACCAGTGTGTGACTGGAAGAACACAGCAGCTTATATGAAAGAAAGCAAAAAATGGGACTGACCTTTGAGCATATTATGCCTGAGAGTGCACTTCAATTCAAACTTTTTTTTTTACTCCCCTTCAGGGTGTTCTTTCACTCCTAACAAAGCACTGACATCTCCAATTGAGACATTTATAGGTCACTTTTGTCTGAATTGTTGCTCCAAAGCATCCCTTATGATTTCACAATGATGCATTTTTGATATTTGGAACATTATGATTGACTAGGAGACTTTACAACCATGACATATTGAAAATCCAACATAAATTAGATAAAATGTAGGTTTAGATTGATAAATAATGAGTAAAATTAACCTTCGAGGATGTTTTTTGTCGTTCATTGTTGAAATCCTTTTCTTGTAGAAAAAACTTATGCAGCATCTTGAAGAAAAGATTTTGATAGGCATGGGATGGTTAAACTTAAATTCTTTACCCCCCAAAAAAGAAATAATCACAATAATTTGTGCCCATGTAATTTCCAGCGGTGCGCTCAGGATTATGCTGTACTGTGGGCTTTTGTTTGCACTGATTGGATTGTGCGTAAGGTCGTGCGTTTTCTGAGTCTCCAGCACGCCAAATGTTCTCAATATGCTTGTCCTGCAGTATACCTCGGGCATTCGTGCAATAATATATTATAGACAAAACTAGTGTGGTTGAGAAAGGGTCTTGATTAGAGACTACAAGATTTTGAAGCCACAGAGTCCTTTATGTTTTAGCCTACAAGTTGATATGATTAAAAATGAAGTACTGAGCAAGAGGAGAAAAGTCTCCAAAAGCTGAGAAATCCAGAAGCAAAGGACGCGCATTGGCCGCACTTGCAACCCACCTTTCTGCTGCTTGAACGACTGGATGGAGCCTGAGTGGTGCACCATTGCGGCGATCCGGTGTTTTCCCGCCTAACGAAATTCCTTAAGTCGAACTGCAAACTGGCCGCGCGCGTGTCAAACTACTGCGGGGTTGTGCGGGTGTCCTCTCGGGTTCCATGCTGCCTAAAGAGCACCTCGCTCGGACGATCCGCAAAGCGCAACAACACCTGTCTAAGATCCGCATGCCGCCCCCCCCCCCTTCCTCCTCCTCTACTCATGTCGAACCATCCGCTGCTGTTGTCATGGTGACGTGCAGGGGGGAGGAGGATAAAGTGAAGGGAGACGGGAGGGGGTCAGGGATTGACACGTCGTCTCCTTCTCTTCCTGAATAACGGACTCCGAATGAGCTGCAGGAAAGTCAGCCCGGTGGCAGTTCTTAAATGAAGCGATAATTACGGGTATTGATCCGTGCATCGATCAAATGCCATCGTCAACTTTTTCGCCACACGGATTGACTGAAGGCGGCTTGACCCCCAGCAGGCAACTCAAAGACGAATGAACTAATAGTGTAGGCAAAGTGGAATTACACGTAACCGCAGGTGTTCGTGAATCTGATTTTGTTTAGATTACATGTGGTTTTGTTTCCTCGTTTGTCTTTTTTTTTTTGTCTCCAACTCTTCTTGTCATCCGGGTCCCGTGTGTTAGTTCACCAATCAGCTCCCTTACCCCTTCGTGTCTTGTCCTGAGGTTCCTTGTTTGTCGTCAGTTCGCTTGCATTTACTTTCCTGGTTTCCGTCAGTCTTGGTCGGATCGCTGTTTTGTGTTACTGTCGTGTTCAACTCTTCTTGTCATCCGGGTCCCGTGTGTTAGTTAACCAATCAGCTCCCTTACCCCTTAGTGTCTTGTCCTGATGTTCATTGTTTGTCGTCAGTTTGCTTGCATTTACTTTCCTGGTTTCTGTCAGTCTTGGTCGGATCGCTGTTTTGTATTACTGTCGTGTTTTTTTTTTTGTTTTTGTTGCTGTCACGTTGTTTTGTCCTTTTGTCATAGGTTTTTGTTTCTTTGTTCATTTTATTTATTGGCCTTTTTGGGACTTAGAGTTTTGGATTTAGTTTTTCCAGTGTTCCCATGTAACTATTTGTGTTTAATATGTTTTGTGCAGTACAGCCTGTTTCTCCTCCCTCCCTGCTTTTTTGTGGGTCCACTACCATCACGCAACATGACAAAACGATCTGATCAAGACTGACATAAACCAGGGAAATAAATACGAGCAAATTGACCAGACAAGGAACACGTGGACAAGACACAAAGGGTTGAGGGAGCTGATTGTTCACACAAGGGACCCGGATGACAAGAACAGGTGGAGGCAAAAAAGATGCCGAAGGAAACAAAACCAAATGTAATCCAAACAAAACCAGAATCAGGACACGGGAGGTTCAACATTTTAAAATATCAAATTTTATATGTCAAAAGTACTGGAGGTATCGGTACTCTAGCAGTGATTCAAAGAGTGAATACTTTATGGTCGTGATATTGGTCTGAAAAAGGGGGTGTTGAGCTGGCCGGGAAATCCAGATTTATTGCTGTGCCAGTGATTGAGTATGGTCAAAGTCTGATCAAGCGCATTTCTGAGACAGGGCAAACCTAAGCAAACAGACAGCGAAATCAAACAATCAGCTAATAGAGTACAGTATGTGAAGTCAGGAAAAAAAAAAAGTTGTCTTTTCAAATAAATCTTTCCAATGCCGTCAGCTGCTGGGGTTTTGATCACTCTGTGTTACTGGTTATGTAAAACTGATTTAATGCTGAATTATGTTAAGCAATTGTCTCTCCCAGGCACCATTTTGAATGAGGATAGACTTCCACCGCTGAAAAGTGACCTTGGTCACGAAGCATATGTCACAGTAAATAAACAGATTTGATTGCATGGTTCCTTCTGAACTGGGGCCAAGCCGCGGTGGAGGCGAGTTTTCCTGACCAACATTCTTTTGAAAGAAATTGGGGTTGGCTTAACAGAGTGGGACCAACAATTTTGTTGTGTAGCTAATTAAAATGTTCAAAAGACAAGAAACACTTTTCGGTATGATGCAGTGCAATTCTACAGCTACTGCATTCCCGCGTTTTTTATTTTGTACATCCCTCGTATTTGATGTCATCCGAATATGCAACTAAAGTGGCTGCCTTGTACAGTAGAGTATCACACAATGACTGCACCAACATATCCGAACTTGACTAGCCAGCAGTAACAATGCAGTTACAAAGAGAGGCCAGATGCATTTAACTCAATCTGGCCTGAACAATCTGCTCTGGCATCTCAAACTATGCGCAAAATGTTCGACAATCGATAGACACACTGCTGCAGGGCAGCCCTGCTTGGAAGCTAATTGTTACACATTAGTCACGAGAACGACCGCTTCCGTCCTGTAGTACAGCTGCTAACCGGATATTAAAACCGATGGTTCAATTTTGTCTTATTTCTCAGAAGGGAAGACAGAGGACACAAGAGTGCATTTTATTTCTCGGCTAATCCATGTGCCACGGTATGCGGAATATGATGATGATTGTGATTTACTCGCACACACAAGTGTACATCACTGAAACACTATCCTCTTTTTTTTCTACATGCTTCTCCAAAGTAGAATTGGATCTTTAACTTGCAAGGTCACACATCCCATCTAAAAGTCAAGCACAAAGGGCGCCAGTCAAGACCTGAACGGTGGAGCTTGTCAGTGGAACATAAGAACATTTACAATTTGGAGGAGAGGCGGACAGGTGCCATGCCGATGCAAATACCATCTGCTGTCCTCCTCCCCCCACTGTTAAGACGTAGGGATGGCGACTTGTGGCAGGGAGAATGGTAGGCATTGCCACGCGCCATTTAAACTGGAACCTACCAACATTCCTTGTGCCGGACCGCTTAATAAATAATCAAGCATCTCTTGTAGGGTCAGACTCGTTTAAAATGTCAGCTCTTCCTTTCCTGCATGCTCAAATGTAGGTCAGATGACAGCACTGCAGGGAGAACCAGACCTCGGTAAAGCTCAACACTGCCATCCTGAGGACAATCTGGTGACTGCAACCTTCGTGTACAAGGGATTGAAAAAGTCTCCCCAGCCATGTTCAAATCCCGGGTTTTTGTGAAATAAAACAGGATAATTGCCATCATTGATTTAACCTAGAACCTGTAAATACATTAAATAATTATTTCAAGTAAGGAAAGTAAAAATAAATGACGGCAATAATGTGGTTGCATTATGTACAATTACAATTGCATCGCTAACTGTACTATTTGTGTGGTTTGGAGTCTACACTCATGATGCTATGAAAAATCTAGTGTGCTGGAAAAAAAAAATCATGCCAAATTTCGTTCCTAAGAAATTGACATGTGACCTAACAGTAGTATAATTACGAGTCGGCCAAACACACTAGTCATTCATTTGCAATAGTTGTAAAATAGGACACACTTGCCAGTGTTGGGAGGACCATGTAACAAAAATAATGTTTTAATTGTTATCTATTAAATTTAGGCAGTAACAAAGTAATATAACGAGTAACTCATATTTTTGAAATATTGTGACAGTTACTGAGTCAAGTGAGGCGTTACAATTTTGAAACTACAAGAAGAAATTAATCGTCATAAAGGCGGGAGAAGGAAGTCCAGTACAGCATTTAAATTTCATTCCTTAATTGTGCACAAAAATCATGGATCAAGGATACCAAAGAAACTCGCTTGTAAAAGGTTTCTTTATAATCTCACTAAAATCAGATTCTTACATGGATGAGTCATTGTTTGTGAGACCAATCATTGTTTCATGAAATAAAATGCGAAACATATTCAAAACACAAACTTCAAATAGCGCACTTTCCACCAATTATCAATTATACATCATCTATCACTATTATTTGTTAGCCCAACGATTAAGCATACTTCAATACATTAAATATAAATAAATAAAGATTTTCTTCTTCAATGTAAAATTATCTCTATATATTTGGAATTTATTTGAATCTATTCTTACACAACCTGTCACATTAAAAATGAAACGTCCCAAAAAGCAGGCCTCGGCGAGAAGAACACTGCGCATGTTGAATGGCGCAAACTCACCAGAGGTCTGGTCGCTTTGGGTGTCTCCAGAGTGGGTGTGGACAGGTGAGAAGCTCCAGGAGGCTGACTGGCTGAGGCCTGCAGAAGAGCGGCAGGCCCAGTTGTCCAGCAGGGGCATCCACATGCAACTGTCCTGATGACATGATCCTCCTGCACGACAAGCGCATGTCATATTGTCTCAAAGCACTTTGGATAAAAATGCAAATACATGCTGATCCGATCCAGGTGATCAGATCTGTGTCAAGTTTAGATCGTAGTAGTATCCTGCATACTGGTAAGTGCACTGCATCATACTGAAAGCTGAATATTTTGACCCTTTCAAGCCAAAATATTAGGACCAAAATCATACAAATGACAGAATAGAAATCAATTCTAATCATTCATTTGAATTACTTCCCTGTGCAAATATGGCATGACAAGTGAGACATTTGCATTCGATACGCGGCTGATGTGCATCGGATTCATCGGGACCAACAAGAAGTGCCGCAGGCTGCGCTCAGTATCCAAACACCGTGACTCAGTGATGAATCTCCATGCACAGGTTGGACTGCAGCCTACTTCATGTCACCTTGATGGAGCCCCAGAAGAAAAGAGCCAGTGGCCAGACAGCCTGGTGCACACTGTATTGCAACAGTGATTTTTTTGCCCATGATAGCAGCAGCAATCATTACCAGCACGGTCTGAAGCTTCAGAAAGGAAGCTGAAGCATTTTTTTCCCCCTGAATAAGCATATTTAGTCAACTCCCTGTTGGGCTCGGCGGCCATTAATGAAGATTATTGCAACCACACTGATTGACAAAGTGCAAGTAGATATGCTAAAACATTTGGCAAGTGGTCAAATTAAAAGTGAGAGTGTCTCGATCTGATATGACTGCACTCATGGAGTGAAAACCTGTCATTAAGAATTTCAAAAGGCATGGAGACATTATTAGATCGATACATGAGCAGGTACTTCCTAGATGAACTTCCTGCCTGGATGATTATTTATTTAAACAAGAGACAGCCCAATGTCACTACATTCATCTTTTCACGAAAATGTGCACCATGCCTCACTATTGACTGAAATGTAAAATACGATGTGACCATGACTACACTGAAACAAATGTCATTATTGGAATGGATGTGCACATGTTAGCCTGAGTGCACACAGAAATCTTCACTCACCAGCTACTTGATCAATAAATAAATAAATAGATAGATAAAAATAAAGGCGGAGTTAACAGATATCATCTAGTACATAAATATGAGGTAAAGAGAATGCGTGTGCAATGCGTGTGCAACCTCAAGGGCATCTTAATTGTAGAGCGTCCATTACATCATGGCCTCTCAGAGCCAGCGCACATCAAAACAGCTCTTTAAACAGCCTGCATTAGTGATTGCTAAAAGCCAAAAACACTTTCCATCAAATAAGAAGACATCTTTGAAAGTGAGCGGGAAAGTGTTGAGCTCATATTAGTGCTTTCCAAATGTAGTCAGATCCCCCTCAATGATTGTATATTTAGATTGCAAAAATCAACGATTCACTTTCTTACCTCAGAAATCTTGACACAGTAATCGATCATGACAAAGCAATAACTGCATTTTATAAACATTTATGAATTTAACACAAATGAAAGAGTTATTCTAAAAATAATATCCAGCCCTGGTGATATAGAGACAAATATTTCGACCAATTTACATACAAGATGATTGAATACTTGTGTCCAAAATCTGTTTTTGCTTCATCCTTACAGGCTCCCATGTACACTGTAGATATTTAGGGGAATACAAGCAAAAAAGTGCAGGGCGCGTTTGCCAAGCTGGATGGACTGGCATGGCAGAATGATCGTCTCTGAGATTTGCCAGACAGACTGACAGTTTCTATTCCTCACATCTGCTAAAACCATGTCTAACAGCGGCACAGGGTAGACAGCTGGTTTAACGCGCATTTCATGAAAAAAAAATGGTGAACAACGGGCATCAAACCCTCTGAATCATTGTATAGTTGGCCATGATTGAAGTTGGCTGTGACCACTCTCATAGTAGCGCAGCTCTCCCTCACGAAGATCCGTCAACCTACCCTCATCCGCGACATGACCAATATTAACCTGCTCTAACCTGCCTCTGCACAGAATTATGCCACGCTCGGGCGTCATGAAAACTGAGCCTCTTCTTTGGTTTTAAAAGCTAAAAATGTATTCTGCACAGAAAAAAAAGCTTGATTCCAATTTGTCATCTTTAGCTAATTCAGTAGTGAGCAGTGTTACAAATGTATCATATATACTGTATATATATGATACAGCACAGACAAAAATAACTTTCAGAACATTCTGGGTCATACAATCATATGAATATATTATAATGCACTTTGATATTGGTCTTTTAATTCCACTTATTGCAATAAATGCCCTGTGAAGGGTTAACACAGACTTTGATATCATCATTTTTTTGTCAATACTGTACTGCAAACAGTTAAACTGGACTTGAGGCTTCATCTCCACATACAGTATATGTAAACATCGTCCTATTAGGAATCAGAGCATGATCATAGTGTTTACATATTTGTGTACGCATGCCTCAGGCCCTGATGATATGTGATGACTAATAGAAGTTCGGGCAGGCATGCATGCGTGCATTCAAAAGCAGCTCATTAAAGTGAATGGCTGTCATGCTCGGTCTCACCACTGACATTTATGCATATAAGATATAATGTGTTCCTCATTAATCTGTAAACATTTAAGTGGAATTATTTTTTTAATTCTGTACTGCATTTTACTGGGATGACCACATCATCTGCTGTTCAAGAGGATATGGACACCAACATGCTGACATTGCATGTCGGTTGTATGTTGCGTTCATTCAGAGTTCATGAATAAATCAATACCGTATGGTCTGGTTTCATCTATTGTTTTCTGTCCAAAGGTGTGGCAATTTAACAGCATAACTTTAAGGCATGACAAGAATGAATTATGTACTGTACTTAGTGGTTTCCAAAAAGTTCACTGTGTCCAGAAAATTATTTTTAGTGACTGTGGTGAGACCAAGTTCTTCTATTATTTAGCTATTTACATTAAGTATAATGAGCATGCATCGGTAAAGAAATACCATTGTCGTGAACTTTTAGTCTTAGGCGTTCGTGGCCACCACATGAACGACACTTTATGTTTATTTAATATTATGGTTGATTATCATTAATCTGCCTATAATATCACTAACATAGTTTGTTAACCGCGTGTATATATAACTGCTGCTGCTCATAAAATTGCTGAATAAGCATTCTCAGTTACCTTTTATAGTACTGTATTAGAATAATTAACATAACAGCCACATTTTAATTGAAAATGGGATGATAGCCAAGAATGCATTTGTTGATATATATAAACTATTTCTATTCTTATTTATAAAATAAAAAAGTGACTTCACTATTAAAACTATCTTCCAATATGTATATGGTCTATGATTACAGATAAGAGAAACTCACTTCCTTTCACTGAGAACTATACTGTTTTGAAGAATTTACCTGAGGAGCCATCAACATCCTGAAATCCTTTCCCGTCCATGTGTCATCAATATAAATCATCCATCAGTAACTTTGTGCCTGACATATGTACACCTGTAAGGGCTGCATAATCTCACGAGCCTGCCATTCCCCCACAGTGCCGCACTTTGAGCTGTAAAATAACCTGGAACGCTGGAGCCAGGATGGAGGGGAGGAGTTTGAAGTGTTTGTTGGGTGAAATCGGCTCCAGCATTAAACTGTCAAGCTTGAGACTACTGATTTGATGGAAGTGCTTTATGGAGCATCACTCACCCTCTCAAAAAGCATGGACGTCACTCTTCCATCTTTCAACCAATTACAACAAGAGGACAATATATTTTCAAAAGTGGACTTGGGTTGAATGTGGTGCAATAAATCAACGTTTGTAAAGGTCATAACTTTGTTTCATTAGATTAATGCAATTTTATATGATGCAAGTCCCACCCGCAGGTATTTCAGCAGCAAAACATTATGGAATATGTCATTCAGTTTGATACGGTACATTTTTTAAAAGAAAAATATTTGTGTTGTGAATATGATATGATCATATTGCAATTATGGTGCCAGTCACGGAGGTTTTCAAAAAGCAGTCAATCATAACTGAGGAAGAGCTGAACAGTTGGACTCCCATTATTTCTGAGTGCCTGTCGCGCTGACAATTATATTATTTTCCCACAAGATGGTGCTACTGCATAAGCTATTAAAATCAGCGTTTACGTGATCCCGAGTTGTGTTCAACATCACCTCTTAGGAGAACTAATGAATGCACTAACACAAAGTTGTTCACAAATGTTCTTGGCAACAACAAAAAAATAAATTACTTTGAAAAACAGAGTTAAATTTTGTTTCACAACATATGTTGTTATCGGAAGGGTCGTGTTTGTACGATTTACTGTTCTTGAACATGTCACAGTGCATTTGGTTAGCCTTGCGTTGGACTAAACATAGATGTCTATGGGTTAAACTGTCACCAAAGCTCACTAGGACATTTAATATTTGACGTTAACAGACTCCTTTCCACATGTAGCGGTGTCTGAACAAGAGGTGCGAAGAGAATAATACCTGTACTGTACAGTATATCCACTGGCTGGTTTGCATACGTCACCGACGGGGCTGTGCTTCGCAGTTTTAGCTTTTCAGTTTGAATGCTAATGTGAACCGAAGCTAACGTCGACGTCACGCCTCAGCACGTAGCCTGGACAGTCTTTAAGAGTAGAAGCTGCCTCTTACTTCTCTTTTGACCACCAATTTCACAGGGTCGTGTTCACAGGCGGTATTAGTCGGCAGTTTTAGCAACAACACAAAGGAGATAGACGCCAAGTTCTCATTTTCAACGTTGCCTTTTGCTTAAAAGTGCAGAATGGGGATGTGCTTACCCTGCTTTGGTGGGGCAGTCGACGACGCTATTGACACTCCAGATCCAGTATGTAACCACCCCTGACAAATAACTTTTTGGAAAACAATGTCTGTGCTGATACTCTGGAATTGTAGGCCTTCATATTACCGATAGATTTTGTTCTTGTTTAGCATTACACTGGCATGCTCTGCCTATCGCTCGGTTAACCAAATTTGGATTTGTTTACTTGTCAAGCTCAGGACTTCTGTCGTGTTTCCAGGAGACGAGGAGGCGACAGTTAGCTGAGGCTGCAGAGAAAAGACAACAAGAGGTAAAAATGTGTGTTTGGAAAAGAAACACTTTAACGTTTTCATACACAGCAGAGACCCCTGCAATAGTAGTAAATGACCCCACCTTCATGAAGCTATCATGTGACGTTTCAGTGACAGGATGTTCTTGGTGCTCTGGGCGCTTTTTGGGTTTTAATCTGCCATCAAGTTTATTTTAATTCACTTTTAGAAGGGAATCCAGGTCAATATGTTATCAAATATATAAAGTTAAAAAGTTGAAAACAATAAATCTCAGAATCATCTTTATTACCCAAGTATGGAGAACACACAAGGGATTTGTCTCCGGTAGTACAGGCTACACTAGTATTATCAATAACAAGCAACTACGATAAACAAGGACATGACAAATAAGTATCGAAAGAAACAAGGACATGACAAATGGGGAAAATTATGATTGCTAAAGCAAAATCTACTGAACGAAAAAAAACACTGAAAAACATGTAGGAAGCAATGACAAAACTCGAAAAATGTCTAGAAAAGGCACGAGTACTTGAAGTTGCATAATATTCTCAAAAGTACAGACCAAGCAATTTACTGATTTAAAAAACTGTGTATGTATAGAAAATTATATATAGGAAATTAAAGTTGCAATGCTGATTTATTTCTTGAACATCCCTGCGAGGTGAAAATAAATTTCTTCGAAATTTGACACACCGGTGTTGAGAGTAGTTAAACCCCCTGCCAAATTTGAGTGATAAAAAAAAATGCTAAGTATATAAAATGAAGCATCAAATCTTGCAACTCAAACCTCTGTCAAACGCTGCTTGCGTGTCCATGGATTGCTCTATAACCACACCCTGCTAAATTGTCACTTGTTAATCAAATACAACTACCGTGACCTGGAAAAATGCATGCTACTTTATGTTGTAAATTTCTAATGCCAACAATTAACTACACGTTTGAGCCGCAAATATATATCTGCTTTACATTCTCTGTATCGCTTTTCCTCTGTTGCTTTTCAATGCTGCAACAACGAAGCACTCTAAAGCGGCCACAACAGCTTGAAGCCCCTGTCCACATCCTGGCTGTCAAGTTGGACTTGAAAGAAAAAAAAAACATCTCCCTCCTGTTACTTACGCCTTAATGTGATATGCACATACTCACGGCCAACAACGAGGCACTTTAAAGCGGCCATGCCAGCAAAATATGGGAAGGGAAGATGTATTTTAAAAGTTTTTGCTCTAGAATGTTGTGCTTAAAGCAGAACTTTCTATTTAAACTCAGCTGCTAAATTTAGTTTTACAGATAAGTGTGCTGTCTGAAAGGTACGTGTTGTGATAATAATGGATACCATCATCTCGTGGCACCATCATGTTGTCGAGGAGGGGCAGCCCTTATTTGAGCGCACGGTGTTGTTTAGAATAGAGGCCACTAATTTGAGGAAATCTGCTAAAATGTTTGAGAAGGATATTTCTGAACCAATCTTTTTACTGGTAAACAGACATCATGAGTACATTGTGAAAAAGGAATTTGTTTGCAGAGCTCTGCCATATGTCTTTAAGTCGACTGATACATTTTTAGAAAGGAAGTTATGATGGTCTTTAGTGAGCAATGTTTTACTGTCCAGAGAAGCCACTTGCACACCCGTAAGAGCCACACAAAAGCCGTAAGGTAAGTGGGTACAAATAGGTGACTCTGGATTGTCCCTTACCTCGTCTTCCACATCCTTCTTGGTCTCCCTAAGAGAAAAAAAAGGCTCACTCTGGCACTGTGCGAAATAAAAACTGCTATCCCCACTTCCTACCACAAATAAAAATGCTGGATCTTAACCCACCCATAATGCAGCACCCATAATGCAGCACATCTTTTGTGTAACCTGTCTCTGAATGTCATACTTTTCTGGCAGTACTCCTGTATGGCGCTTTGCTGGTTGCTCCCTTATTGCTTGATTTTGTTATTGTTGTTGTCGTTTTCAAAATAGCACGCTATTTGGATCCAACCCTAGCACTGTTCATATATTTCTTATTTTCTTGTTCAAAGCAAAACCTGCAATTTAACATTCCTGGTTCTTTCTCAGACAGCACACAGGGGTGTTAAAAACCCAGAAGCGGTTGAAAGGAAAAGAAAAAAGCAAGAAGAGATTGAGAAACAGAAGATGAGTACATCTGTGTCTGGCAGTGGGGGCGGGTTGAAGGTAAGCCGTTTTGTGCTTGTTTGCGTTGAAGATAAACAATAAGAAAAGATCATATAAAAAATTTGCCTATTTTTAGCCTGTTTCTCACTGAGCAGTGAAGGCTTGCGCATGTTGGTAAATGTTTTTTTCCGTCAGGGTTCATTCAAGCTCGCTCAGACGTTGACGCCTGACATTCGTAAATAGTTTTAACAGTCGTAAAACGTTTTTTTTTTTAAACTTTCAAAATGTGATGACGACAAGAAAAACAGTTTGCAAATGTCTTTGCAAACTTGAATGAACCCTGATGAAAAACCAACACTCACCAACTTTGGCCACACAGTGAAATATGGACTTAAGCGGCAACTGGGTAATTGAATCATTTTTCACATTTTAAACAATCACTCAATGAGTTCACACCAAGTGGAGTTTGGCAGATGATGAACAATTCTTCAAAAAAAAGGTAGCACTGTTGCAGTGTTATGACCCTTCAACACAGGTAATATAAAAATGTTTACGGGCATGTTTTCTTTATCCTCTGCAAAGAACAACTAATCTTACTGTGGCTTATTGAGTGACTGATTGTCTCCATGTACATATACGTACCCTTATGTCTGTATTATACTGCCCTCAGTTGGCCAAGGCTGGCACACCAGAAGGAGCAGCACATCGTCCACTGAAATGAAACACTATACACAAATTAATTATTTTTGTTTGTGTGTGTTGCTCTGTAGTGGCAGGTGGGGTGAAACAGTGCAAGTGCAAAGGTCCAAAACCACAGAGGGATCACTGCGAGATGTTTTGAACAGCTATCCACTTCTACAGCTATTGATTTCTGAGATGGTTTGAGTTTGAGACAAATGGCTCAACGTGCTCAATGCTGATCCGTTAGCTTTAATTGGGGCAGGAACACCAAGAGCCGCAGCCCTGTTGCCAAACCAGCTGGACAAGCCCAGTGGGTCTTACTAGTTATAAATTCCATTAACACAATAATCTGAATATCAATATTCACTACACAACATTGTATATGACTTTTTTCCAAACATGATTTAGACTCTTTACACTGTTTAAACCCATTTTCACAGTTTGAAAATTCTCATTAATGTTTGGCGACTCAGTGCAAATTCGAGTTGAATATCGTCACCTTCTTTAAGTAATGGCCAAAATTATATTTTGACAAATAATACTATTTTTGCCTTAAACATCTCATGATGTGGGCCACCTCTGCTAAAATCAGCTATTGAAACAGATCGTTCGTTTCTAACTCCGAAATAAAATTATTTGTAAATATAATCAGAATTTGGTTCAGTTTTTTGGAAATTTTTTTAAAAATTATTTTTGGAAGGTGACGATATGCAAACAATGCCAGACTTTCAAATGTCGCATCAGGAGTGTGAATAACCTACTCCGGCTGCATCACTGATAATCTAACACTACACTTGAGAATCTTATTTTGAGCACGCTTACACTTTGCAGCAGCCTGCCATGAATTTCACATATGGGAGGCACGTGGTTAAACTGCTGAATTTTTTAAGAACTGCTTTGTCATATGTAATCTTTTTTTCCCCCCAAGAACAGTTGTATGTGTGTGTGCACTTGAATTAGCAGAAAACTACAATGTGAATAGAATATTGTGAAGAAGTGAAGGATTAATAATGATGGTATTTAACTTTGAGCTACCGGTAAGTGCATTTTTCACTGCTTTGACTTGATCTTTACACGCTTTCGGCATTTGGTCGCAAAGATAATCAAGCCAATGTAATTTGCTACAATAAAGTCATATTTCTGAATTGACTATGTGGATTTTGTATGCAGATGTTTCCTGTACATTCAGAATATGAAACAAATTATCAGTGGCATGAATTGTAAAGCGTCATAATTCGAAGGGCTGCTACTAAGGCCATCTTGGGCTTTCTTTGTGACAGTTTTACTCCCCTCAAAGTTAGACGCTTATTTAAAATTGAACGAGGAAACCTACACTTATGGGGAAAAAAACATTGTTTCCAGTTGTTAAATTCGATACGTATTTACTATACTGTACTAACTAAAAGCTAACTTCGATGTGCGCACCATCGAGGAGCACAAGAACTGTATTTCTTTACCTCTAGGGGGCAGCAAAGCAGAACAAATAAAGACAAGCGAGAGCATGGAAACCCGTTATGGTGAAGCTGACAATATTCATTCATTTTCCAATTTTTAATTTATTTTGATTTTTAAAATAACATTAATAGGCGTAGTGTCAACATGCTACGAGCATAAATATTTTTAGACTAAAAATTCAATCTTCTTGCTTTCTGTGCTCTTATTTTCTTATCTTACACATTTTTGAAGAGTTTATACTAATACTAAATGTGGGGGTGCTCTGTGAACACCATAATAAACCAGTTGAGGCTGGGCTTTTTTTTTTAACTCTAAATCAACATTCACTTAAGTATCACAGTTGCATTTTTAATGTGGTCCCCTCGTTTCCACTTTTTGTTAACGGAAAGAAAACATTGAAAGTCCACTGGCATAAATTCAGAAAAAATAAACGTACCTACGTACAGTTCAAAAAGTCAGTTTTTAAGAATAAAGGTACACCCTTATAGGCACATAAAGAAGAACATTTTGAAAAAAATAAGTTTGTTATAATATTATGATAGGAAATGTACAGCATGTATAGCCAGTTGACACATTATCTTGCAATTATGTGAGTTTTAAATGTCTCTCCATTGAACATCTCACAGCTGCAGTCCTCATCATGGTGCGGTCTCCTGTGTTGACTTTTTGCTGCGATAGTTGGCCGCCACCACCAGGTAGCTGTCAGGCGTTAGGTCCTTGATGCTGAGGCCTTTGCCGCCGATGGGGGATGTCTTCCCTTCCACACGGGAGATTTGGAGCATTCGACACGGGTCGTGCTTGAGCAGGTAGCTCTCAAACGTCTCCCAGCCTCCTCCCACACGCACCATCACATGCTTGTTGTGCAGCATCTGAGGACATGTAAACAGGATTAGATATAGGAGGATTCTTGGCATTTCCCTGATTGGGGATTTGGCTTGAAGACGAGAATCACTTTGATGTTTTAGGTTATTGAATTGAGGCAGGGGAGCTTTGGCCCCCTCCATACGGCCTAATAACACGGACAGCAAGCTAATCCAGAGAGGATGTTTTCATTGAAATAAAAAGAATACTCCTTCCATCTCATGAAGAAATCTGACAAAAATGTACTGTACGAGATGTACTGTTAGAATTTGGCATTTGCTGCACTTAATCCACCTCTTAATACCACGACTATCGATATTACAAACACAATATTAATCTTATAACATGACAAAAACAGAAAACATTTAAAAAAATGCTTTCTACTCATCAGAGTTGACGATAGTGCGTGTAGCTTGCTACAGACTTGTTTTGCTTGTCGAACTTGGCAGTAGCAAGTTTTGTTCTGGACGATCAATCAGAGGATGACAAAATGTTGATCTCATTGAGGGCCAGTGAGGACAAATTTGAATTCTGATGGGTTCACGATATAGTCCCATTGCTCATATAGATGAAGTTACATTGGCCGGCACGACTGATTCTGAAGGTCCCGACAGATTAGATTAACATGGCAATACATAGAAGCTGAAATCTGACTGAGAAAAAAAATCCACATAGAAGTACTGGAAGCAGAGTAGCCAAGAGAAACATTCAAAATAAAGAGAATAGACTACTAGGAATAAATTCATAAAATTTCATGAAAGATATATCCGAGTTTAAGTTGTGAATGTCACTCTTCTCACCTCAATTCATTGTTTTCTACAGTCACGAGTAAATTGATTTCTCTTTTCTTGTGAAATCATACCCTCAGGAACGGTTTCAATTGACAATTGATCATGTTCTCTGGTTGTTGTTGTTTCCACTCAGTTTTTCTTCCAAATCGTGCCCTCTGCCATCTGAGGGTACATTCTCACCCTTGGCTACCATGGCAACGTTGGAGAAGAAATAGAGGCTGGGACAAAAGCACTGTTCAAGGCCTTCCTCGTTTGTGCCTGACAATGGAAGCATTTCACCAGCTACCTCATTAATACATCATTACACCGACACTACAGCAAACTGCTTCAAAAAAATGTCCCCCTCAGAATAAAGACTGCACAGGTTATTATAAACACTGTTGTTTCCTAACAGAAAAATGCTAACCTTGCTCGTTGGATCCAAAGTGAGATCGTCACCTCAGTTTGCGATATGAGACTTCCTGCCCCGCAGCCCCAAACATGCAACATTTATAAGCTTCTTAAAAGAATCAATCTAGAGGCCATTGGCGGGGCGGTGCTTCCAATCAGCGGCAGCAGGCCTTCAGGCTTTGTGACTGTGGATTTAATGGAGCTGCGTGTCGCTGAGGCGTTTCAATCATGCCGCTTTGGGACACGACCGGCGCTCTTGTGACTGGCAGCACGGAGAAGGACAGGGGCCCTCAGGCGTATATTTGACAGCACCTCTCACCAACAGTGAGGAGGTACTGGAACTACAGCCACCTCCTTTATTCTTGGAACAGAGAGCGTCTCACAGGCCTGACCTGCACACCATGGCGCCTCATGATTATATTTGCAGTTTCTTTCTTTTTTTTAGTAACAGCAGCTGCTGGCGGTTCAACTCTCTGCAGAATTTTGATGAAAGCATCTTTAGTGAGGGCTGAGTGACGTTCACAGGTCAAATGATGCAGCTCGCACTTTGTATGACTGCGACTTCACTCATGGGGCACACTACGTACACTTGGACATTCTAATGAGATATATTTTAGAAAGTCTGCTCTTTCAAGAGGTGGTACAGTGTTCGACTGCTGTTCAGCCTCATATGCAGAGGTGCGGGTTCGATTCCGGCTCCGGCCTCCCTGTGTGGAGTTTGCATGTTCTCCCCGGGCCTGCGTGGGTTTTCTCCGGGTACTCTGGTTTCCTTCCACATTCCAAAAACATGCGTGGCAGGCTGATTGAACACTCTAAATTGTCCCTAGGTGTGAGTGTGAGCGTGGATGGTTGTTCGTCTCTGTGTGCCCTGTGATTGGCTGGCAACCAGTTCAGGGTGTCCCCCGCCTACTGCCTGAAGACAGCTGGGATAGGCTCCAGCACCCCCCGCGACCCTCATGAGGATAAGCGGATCGGAAAATGAATGAATGAATGAATGAAGCCTTCTCAGAAGAGAGCCGGAACATCTTCAAAGACAAACAAAGTAGTCCAGGTGCAATCAATTCAATGCACCGAGAAAGACAGAAAACATAGTTGGACTACAGGACCTCCATGACATTTCTCTCTGGCCTGAACAATGCCCTTTTCCGTAAAAGATGATGTGGGTATGTTTGTGGGGCCTTGTGAGACAAGGCAAATTGATTCCAGACTATATAAATAAAAACGACTTTACATGTACACTGGGGTGAACAAAGGCAGAGTAAGCTCTTCACCACCTGTCCTTGGTTGCTCAGTAACCAAGCCATCAAGATTAAGGTATTCTGTCATCTAAAAGAAAATGATGAAAAAGAGCTTACACAACATGTTGCGCTCTTCTAGCTGTCAAGACTTTGATTACATAAAGTGACGTAACCGTTTTTAAAAGCAAAACAGCATCTTTAGCTCAAACCAATTTGAATTGGGAAGCTGCTCAATGATATGCTGACAGGAGAGGACAGCCAAGAGTAAATCCTCTGTGTGGAGCCTCTGAGGTGTGAATCCAGGTTGTGGGTTGCCAAGTAACCACCATCCCAAGGGGTCTGACAATACGCGAATCGAATCTCTACTAACTGGAGAATGTATCTCCTCTTTCTCCACTCATGAAAGTTGAGTAAGATTTCCTGGAAGAGTAGATCCTGACCGTCAATGAATGATACTTGATCAAATATTTTGAAAGGAATTATTTCGGTCATCACTTTGGGAATGCATGGCTCCTATTTTGTCTTTATAGCCAATGACTCACCATTATGCTTGGTTGGGGATGGAAATTTGACTGAATAGCATTTCCAGTCAATGAGAACAGCAGGCTGCTTGCACAATGGATGACGTTCATTCCAGAGTGTGCGTCACACAGTATCAACATACAGTACACTCGTTGGCCACAGCATTAGGTACACTAACAGAGATCTATTACAAGTGCACCATCAGAAAACTTGGGGGGTGCATTATACTCACGAACAGCATACTAACACTATAAGAAGCAATGACGTGTGATAAATGTATTCTTTTTTGTCCTGTTATTCGATAAATAGTGATTCTGAAATGTTCCAAATGATATACGTGGAACATTGTGTTTTTTTTGTATAGTAGTGATGGGTTCTATAACTGCTACATTATAGTGGTGGTATTAAGAAGTATATTAAGTTGCGTCAGTCATTTATATGAGGTCCAGATAAATTCAGAGATTAAGAATCGCGGTAACTATTTTTACAGATTGTTTCTTGAGATATGAAAAGTTAATTGAAGTGATGAAGCCATATGACATGGTAGCATATACTCACTCGTATAAAGAGTGTTTTTTCCCCAACACGGTATCGGCCTTGTGAGTGCCTCTCCACATGGAATTTATTTGGACATCTGCAGGGGGGGTCGTCAGCAATATGTCTTACCTGTAAACCGCATACAGACATGGGTTATGCATGTTTGCCTTCTGAGGCCACCAGCACAATTGTTTAATTACAGCATCGTCCAGCAGTTTCCCAGTGCTCTTCTTGCTCGAGGTGACTTTGGGAGGAGTCGGCGATGGGGAGGGAGACGGGGAGGGTGACGATGAGGGTGATGGAGGGAGGGGGTGCACTGGGGATGCAGGCGATGGCGGTGGTAGAGGTGCTTTCTCTTCTTGTTCAATCTCTTTCTCCAGTTTTATAAGACCGGGGGGCTCCACGTTGTACCTGTGGAAGGGTTCAGTCTCAGTGATTTATCATAGGTGTGCATTTTGCTGATCAGCCAAATGTTTGCACGAGCTGTATATTTTAAAAAATGCCCGAACAAAATAACATTAACATTTTTGTAAAGACTCAGTTGGTGAAGAATACATATCAAAAATTAAACAGTACCTGGATGCTATCCGGCCCAACTCCAACAGACAGAGGCAGACTTCTCGAGGCTGCTTGTGAAGAACTTAAGAAAAAAATGCAGGGTTAGTTTGTGGTTATCAGAAAATATATCATCCTGACTAAGAGTAACAAGCAGCGAATGAAGATGAATAAAAAGTGCTAAGGAGCACATACAAATAACACACAATGGTAGCTAAAATCAAGTTGTCACCATCATGCTAACATGCGCAAACCAATAATGTTAGTTTCGGGGAAATGTGCTCACATGCCAACAGTTGAACCCTATTCAAATGTCACTACCGTTTAAATCCAGTATAGAAAATCCATTCCAAGATGAGTTCATGATAATGATGAAAGTTCAAATAAATGTGAATGATTAACGTTGCATCTTTTGAGCCATTCTGCTCACATGGCACCTCATGCATTTTAAAACTGAACAAAATGAGGATTGTTTTAAATTGAAGTCGATACAAAATTACAGCAGACAGTGTATGTAGTCCATGTAGCGAGTTGTGTGGATAGGGGTTTGGGTTTTGAAGGTTTCAGATCCTCAAAAATTTTAAATGGGGGTTGGGGGTTTCATTGGAAACAAAAGTGACAATGAGATAATGAAAACAAAAATCTTCCTTACCCTCCCCCCCCTCGCTAAGTTCTCCGAACGGATTTCATTATTGAAGCTGTCCTTTTTCTCCCTTTTTGCATTATGTGCATAAATGGACAAACAGTTGTATGATGTGACAAACAAGTGTGACCACTGTAATCTGTCAGGCCACCTTGTATTTATTTGGCGGACTTGAGGTTTTGCAAGCGAGAGTGAAAAGCATGAGGTCAAAGAAAAAGCAATTCAAATGTCAAAGTGCTCCATTATGAAAGTGACCTTATGTAAGAACATCAAGAGTGAGAGTGATAGTGTGGCACCAGCACACATTTTCGTTTTGGTTGGCTGATAAGGTACTTTTTCATTGTAACCAACTACGGTATGTAATATACCGCTAGGGTAAACTACCAGTCGGATTGGGGGCTTGCTGGTCCACACTATGCCACTGCATGTGACTCACACCACAACATACATTACACAAACTATGTCCATTACACGGGAGCAAACCTGGTATTGTTGAACTGACAAATTCCTTTCAGGGAAAGACGGAAGTAAAAAACAAAGAGACAGTTGTCAGCTGCTCAGTGTTATGAGGGCGTACACTGAGCTGATGGCTCAATAAGTGTGAAATGTGGCCTTCAAAAATAATTAGCATAGCTTGAATTGCTTAGCTGCGGTCCAGCAGCTATTTGTGAGGAATTGACGATTACATAAATATTCTTGGTAGTTGTGATACTTCGAGGCTCACATGTTGTACATCTGACTGCATTTCATCACAGACATTGACGCAAGATATCCTTCTAACACAACACAGAATACTGAGATAACATGAGCAGGAAGGAGAACTGTGCCTCCTCTTGGCTGAGGAAAACATTTGCATAGTCTTGGCCTACTTTTCTGACATTCTTCTGCCTGCGCTTTTGTTTGGACTGTGAAAGCTGAGAGCCAAGCATTCACACTAATATTAATATGTATGCCAGAAAACACTTGTTTTTAATAGTATTACGATTGTTTTAATGGTGTGTGTGCATGACAGCATTGCCAATAACAGCAAATCGTGAGCACAGGCCACCACCAAGGCCAGAGAAAAGTATTCAAACGTATTAATTTGATTGGTCAGATGTGGTGAGACTATGGGTAAATCTATTGATGGCTTGCAGCTCGTCATTAAAAATGTATAAATAAGTCACATTCGATGTCACAGGGTTAAAAGTTTTAGGAAAAAGTAGCGTCTTATAGTCCGCATATTAAAACAAAACAAAAGAAAACTAATACTAAAACTAACAAAATGTGTGTGTGTGTGTGTGTGTGTGTGTGTGTGTGTGTGTAATATGAAACCGTTCTAAAAAATGTAGAGTCACATTAAATCAAAACTAACTGCAAGGAATAAAAACTATTTTAATCCGTGTTCATGGTCGTTAAAAAAAAAAAAAAAAAAAAAAACACCTCATGGCACTGTCAGAAATACTAAAAAATCAAATCAGATTGCTGTAACGTCATATTACCACATTACAACCATGTTACCAGAAAACATGTTTCTTATAAACGTGACACATACCTTAACTCTTTATTATTTCGAGGAAATGTTTCATTTTATTTTCTTATGTGGTCTTTCTGCCAGGCAACTACGCATTTCAGAATAATTTTAAAGGTGTTTCATTTGGGAAATATTTTTCAAATGAGGTCTGTTCACCAGTTGCCTGTGTTATTATGACCACAGGATGCTCTTTGCACAGAAGCTCGGTACAAGTACAAGCAAATCCATGAAAGCGTGCACTCACCTAAACCCTCAGACTCAAACAAACACGTTTCCCCCACTCCAACTTCACGACACCAAGACAGAAAGTTGGCTGTGTTGTCCCGGGCAAAGAAAGAGCCAGACGGAGCAGTCCGCCGGCATGGGATCCTCCGGTTAGGAATAACCTGCTTGAGACATAAACAGATGATTTGAAAATCCTAGTCAAAATGATCACTCATGAAGACGTGTATGTAAAATCCACAGCACACCGGAGCAACATGGCCATGTACCAAAACCTTTCTCACCACCATTTCCATTTTCTCCATCTGCTGAGAGGCTCTTGTTTCATCCCAGGATGGAGGAGCTTTTTGCACACATATCAATATTGGAGATGGCAGGTCAGAATAGCGGGGCTACTTTACCAAGTTCGGTATGATTGGAGATCAGATGACATTCTCATGCACCACAGCCCCCCACATGGTCTCTTTGGGGAGATTTATGCGCCTTACTGTGGTTTTATACAGGATATGTGCGTCTGTGCTACGAGAAAAGGTGCGATGACATCATACTGGAAATATGCAGTCGTTGTGGTTATTTTTCTTTTCTGTCCAGGCTCTCCTTGAGCTGTTTTTGTCTGGAGGTCTTTACTGTCCATCCATGTAAATGTCCGATTGCTTTCCTGGAAAAGTAATTGTGGCCATAATTTCATTTGATGTGTGAACTAACAACCTGTGTTTTTCTTTCTGCCTTGGCTTTCTCTGTTCCCCACACCTTCACTGTTGACTTTAAAGTGTTTTTCTTGTAAACGTGACAAATACCTAACTCTATATCATTATGCCATTAAATTCAGTAGCACTATTAACTTGAGGAAACTAGAACAGCACTCAGTAGAGCAGTGTTTCCCAACTTATATTAAGCCACTGTAGTGACTTCGGGCAATTATTTTACATCAGAAAAACTAAGGACAGATCGCAAAACAAAAAGGTCACAAAATTACTGTATACAGTATACAGCAATGTATACTGAAAGAATGATTCTTTTGTCTCAGTTTACTCCTAATTTTACTGACTCACTGTAAAGCCTGCGCCACGCATATTTGAACACAAAGCTATTATTCACTTATGTGAATGGCAAGTGGCTACACCGGTCAATTTTTGTATCTTGAATCTATCATCTAGATCAGTGGTTCTTAACCTTTTTAGAGGTACCGAACTCAACCAGTTAGTATGCACATTCACCGAACCCTTCATGAGTGAAAAATAAATAAATAAATAAACAAACAAACAAATAAATAAATAAAATTTACAAATTCAAGATATAAAAAAACGCATTTATTATAAACAGAAAAAGGAAATAAAATCTCAAGAGATAAGTATACTTTTTTTTTTTATTGTACGACGTACTATCACTACAGTCACACGCTGACAACAAAGCGAACTCAATTTCCCAGAGCACTGATTGGACAAGCAATGTCATGTGATCATCTGCAGCCAATGATGGCCAAACGGGCGTGTCATAACTAATTAACTTGTTGATCCGCGTGTGTCTTACCCTCAATGGCAGAGGCTCCGTCGAACTCCTGGGGTTTAATCGAACACAGGTTAAGATCCACTGATCTCGGTCAAAGGTGGGCACTTAATTTTGCAAAAGGGCCACACAAACCTGGAGCGCTTGCCGAAGTCCAAGCTAACATGCTAATTTTAGAAACGTTGCCACTCGTCCACATAAGTTTCATGGAAATCAAATAGTCCAGTTTTGGGGAAATTCTGCAAACTCAACGTGATCAAACAATGCCTCTCACACTTGTGCTATTATGCTTGCTGGAGCTAGGAAGTGAGGTATATTCCCAACACTTCTACCGTCACATCTGTACAGACTCAAGTCTTCAGCCCCTGAGACAGCAATAACATTCACAAGATAATGATGTGGTTCCGTCGAGCATACCCCATTGTGCTATTACAAGACGAAAGACATATCATCCTCCATTTTCATGATATGAAAGCAAGACACAAGGGGAAGATGGCGAGACGGCAACCACATAAGAGTACGTGATCATTTATCTCAGCTGGAATCACTTAAGTCCCACCAAGTATGGGATTGTTAAGCAGCATGAACACAGATGGACATTTGCTTACTTGTGGTGTCAAGTATTACATTCAGTCCAAGTCCGCGACGAGCTGATGAAGCACCATTTGACTTAAATGATGAGTATTGCGTACACTGTCTGAAGCAGGCTCAGCTGATGTCATTGATTCTCTGTGCCTCATTGCTCTTCATGTGGTCGCGTTAAAAAGCACTCAATATGATACAGTACTATGATACAGTTTCCTGTACAACATAATGCAAACTTTTGTGATCAACTTTCTAGTTTATGAAGCTTGTCTGATAAGACCGACTACCGGTAAATGAGTCTTCAATGCGCTCAATAGCATCTCTATTGCAGGAACTTGTGTCGTCTTGCGCTCTTGACCTCAAGCATTTCCTCACATCTGTGCCGGAATCAGGAGACGCACCGTCATCAGTACAACCGTGGTCCACTGCAAATATCAACAATTCACACTGAAGCGCCAACAAAGGAGTCTTGTGCTTCCCATTTGCCCTCTAAAAAGAAACTCCATCTCATCTTTTTTTTTTTTTTTCTTCCTCAGACAGAAGCATATAATCACTCTTGTGCAACATGTCTGGTCAAATATCACAAATGACTGACATGCATCAGATATTCTTTTACTTTGTTTGTCTTGGATAGTATTAATTTTGCATCTTGACAGATTTGCCTCTGGATGGAGGCATCATGTCGAATTGTGCCCTTCAAACTTGCCATGGACCTTTGAAGAAAAAAAAAAATCAAATGACTGTCGTAAATCTTTTTCTTTTCTGTGATTCATGTACTTTTGTGTATAGATGAACTCACTGCATTAGTAACTTCCTTAGTCTTTGTGTTATAGCCCAATAAATCCCTTCCCATCCCGCATGCCAGTCTTTGTCCAAAGTTCTGTACAACCAAGGAGCCCCTTGAGATGTATTACCATTCAATAAATTACAGAATTTAATCTACCATTTTCCTATGACCATGTATTAAAGAGAAAGTCTATCCCAAAATGATCTGTCTAATAAAAAGTTCGATGCACCTCCACTACTCTCAACACAGCATTCTGATTCGTATTGCATTTGTGGAATATGAGTTAAGCTGCAAAATCCATTCCTTTTTAGCCATCTCAGGGTGCGGCCATTTTTCCACTTACTGTTGACCTAAAATCACATCATAGTGTCTCAGGGCTCAGGTAACAACAAATCATGGCTCAGCTTCAGAAAACAGGTAAGCCGTTTTACTGCTTAATTCATTTTGCACAAACGAAATATCAATCAGAACGCCATGTTTAGACTAGGAGGGCTGCATAGAACTAATTATTGTAAAGAAAACTGGGGGGTTGACTACCTCTTTCAGCAATAGATTCTACAGGAGAAGCTTCTCTTGAGCTGATTGAGTGAAACCTAATAGCATATATCTGTCTTTGGCCTTATGGGAGTCAATAAACCCCGACTGCTGCTGTCCTGAAGCAATCTGTCTTGAATCAATTAGATTAGAAAAGGGAGTGTGAACTCACGACGTGTGTGTGTGTGTGTG